TCGGACCCCTTTTTCTTTTCCTCTTCCTTTCCTCTTCTCTCTTCTTTCCCTTTCCCTTCTTTTCCTTCTCTCTCTCTCTCTCTCTCTCTCTCTCTCTCTCTCTCTTTGTTTGCTGAGGGGCCAGGGGAGGGCAGGCGAAGGCCTTTCGCCCCCGATCCACACCGCGTTGGTGGGAAAAATCACAATTGATCTCCGTACCTTTCTTTTCTTACCCTTCCCCTTCTCTTCTTTTCTCTCTCTTTTAAATTTGTGGTAGAAGGGGGGGGGGGGGGGAGAGACAAGGGCCATTTGCCCCCCCCCCCCCGATCCCCAACTTGTTGGCGGGAAAACTGCAACTGATATCCCCCTTCTTTTCTTTTCTTCCCTTTATCTCGTCTTTTCCCGTTTTTCTTTCCCTTCTCTTCCTTCTCTCTTTCTTTTTGCTGGGGGGTGGGGGGCAACAGCCTGGGAGGTAAAGCCCTTTGGCCCCCCTCCCGATCTTCTTCTTTTCCCTTTTTCTTCTTCTTCTTCCTTTCCCTTTGTCTCTTCTTTCCCTTTCCCTTATTTTCCTTCCTTCTCTCTCTCTCTCTTTTGCTGAGGGGAGGGGGGGGGGGGGCGAAGGCCTTTCGCCCCCGATCTCCTTTGTTCCCCCTTTTCTTTTCTTCTTCCTCTTCTTCCTTTCCCTTACTCTCCGCTTTACCTTCTCTCTCTCTCTCTCTCTCTCTCTTCATTTTTTGTTGGCGGTTGGGGGTCAAGGCCCTCTCCCCCCCCCCCCCCCTTGATCCGCGCCGGGAAGACATGTAGTGTCATCTGGCAAAGCTGAATATGGGTTATCCAGTCGTTTCATTCATTAAGTATATTTATACTTGTATCAAATATGTATACGTGTGGACTAGAGTACGGACATTCGGTGCGGCAGGCGGACTATTGGTGCGAGACCTCTTCCGCACAGATTGTCCGTCGGACATTTGAGGCGCGCACGGAATGTCCGACACGGACATTCTGCGCGGATAAAATCCGCACCGATCGTCCGCTCTCGATCGATCTCTAATAGGCGGACGATCGGTGCGGGTAACATTCTACGCGGTCACACCGGATCTTATGATATGTTATCTCTATAATATTCCCGACACTTGCTGCAAGTCCCCGAAGATGGCGTTATCAACGAACTCTCACGCTCAGCTTAAAGGGATAGGTGAGTTCTGTTGCAGAGGGCGCTACACAAAGTAATTTTCCGTGAGATAATGAAAAACTGAGTGTCAAATTTGAAAGAACTTACAATTTAAACGACAAAATCATCTTTGTTTGATCAAAATCGGTTCAGAGACGGCTGAAATATCTATTAATATAACGATTTCTAATACTTTACGTTGAAACAACGAAATAGCGCCTTTTACGTCGTATTTCATCCAATGTCGATGTTGGCTTTTTCGTGATTGTTATGTTACGCACAACCAGCCTGCCCATGTATTGTCATTTTTAATTAATTATTTAATTCACGGTCACCGTATGTTTGGGAAAGTGGAGCTGAATTGGTATGATCTTATTCGCTAAATTTCACACATTTTGGGGGTGTAAAATTACCTTCATAGCAATTTTAGGTCCTAAAAGGGCACTAGAAATGTCATAGTATACAAATATACACTGCCTTGAGAGGTCCTGGTTAAAACTATGCGCAAGAGGTGACTCCAATAGCAAATGGTACTTTTGGAGTCACCGAGGCCCATAGTTTAACCAGTACCTCGAATAGAAGGCATGGTATATTTGTTTTATATCCTGCATCAGAAATTTATTTAAAAAAACAAAAAACAAACAAAAAACATTTTTGGGAAAAAATTGTTAGAACAAAAACAATTTCAATTTTTATCTAAAAGATTTGAAGAAAACAAATTAATTCAATTAAAAAAAAAAAATCCACATTTTTTTTCCAACTCCCAAATAGTAAAACAAAAAATTACTCTCATATAGTACTTTCTAAAAATAGGTCAAATATTTCTGGTCATGTGACAAGCTCTCAACCAATCAAAAGCCAACAAATTTGTGATGCAGGATATAAATAAAAATAAGAGCAATAACCATGCACTTTGAAGGCATTTGCGGTCTATGAACAAAACTCAATTATCCCTTTAATCCTGCCTGTTATCTCTATAATATTCCCTACACACGCTGCAATCCGCCGAAGATGGGGTTATCAACAAACTCGTACGCCCAGCTTAATCTTGCCAGTTCTTATGTTTTTTCTTATTATATGGCTCTAGGATGTTTGATCTCTATTAATATTCCCTTCACTTGCTGCACGAAGCCGAAAAGGGCGTTATCAACGAACCCGTACGCCCAGCTTAATCTGGCCGGTTCTTATAATTTATTTCCCTCCCTCAACGAACTCATACGCCCACACATTTCACGTACTCGACCTTAAGTACCCTATATTGAAATTAAGTAAATATCAATGATCTGTTTCAAAGTCCTTGCTGGTCTCGTAATCATACTCACACGTTAGCTGACGTGCTAATTATGACCTGTATTGCAGTTTCACTTCACTTGCTTATGACGTATTAAGTTGATTAGTCACATTACGGTCCATGTCGCATACAGTGAACAACTAAATTATTCATACCCTGGTAAATTATATTTCTTGTTTTTTTTGTAACTCAAGAATGAAAGGTTAACTGGTTGAATTAGGGCCTTTTTTTAATGTAAGCACTAATATGTCACATTCTGAAGAAACATAAGTTGGGACAAATCGTTTGTTCACGCACTTACAAATTACAAAAATTGGTAAGGGTACGAATAAATCAAATGAAAGCTCCATGATTTTCGGGGAAATCCAACCTCACCATCCAATTTCTATGAAATTAAACTTAGTCAAAATAAAGAGAGAAAATATTCTTCTAGAATGCCATGAAAAGAATGAAGAAGATCCCAATTCCCCAAAACCAGCCTTTCCTTTAAAGGACAAGGAGTTTCAAAGTCAATTATTTGTGTCTAAAATTCAAAGGGAATGAAACCCAAACATACAAAAGCTGGTACCAGTCGTAATCAAATTAAGAAATTTTAATATTAAGCCTATTTGATTACTTAGCTGATAAATCAATCCCTCCTAATATTTTGCATTTTCCTTGCTAGCCATTGTCCCATGGAAATTGTCATTTTGGGGTTCACTTGAAGAACGAGCAATACCAACGTATACCGGCCTAGTTGCGTTGAAATTAAATAATCAATACATTTGATCAGCTTATGAAAAAAGAAATATAATATATGCATCTAGAATTACGGAAATCATACACAGATGCAGGGAAACAGATGAATCTATTTATTCGTTAAACGAGAGCGGTACGTGAAATAGATGGATATAGTGAGGGAGACAAGTGTGGGAGGGGGTGGTGGCTCGTTGTGGTTCAGGAAAGATATGTCTAGGCCATGTGAATATATGCTAACAACTCTGAAATAGCACTTACATAGTACGAAAAATCAAAAGGTATACATCGATACCTAAAGGCGAAACTAATCAAAAATTGTGTAATACATAAATTATACAGACCCCCCCCCCCGCCTCTCTCTCTCTGTCTTTCTCTCTCTCTTTCTCTCTCTCTCTCTCTCTCTATCTCTCTCTTTTCTCTCTCCCTCTCTCTATCTCTCCCTCTCTCCCCCTCTCTCTCTCTCTTCCTCTCTCTCTCTCTACCCCTCTCTCACTTTCTCTTTCTCTCTCTCTCTCTCTCTCTCTCTCTCTCTCTCTCTCTCTCTCTCTTACGTACGTTCAAGAGCTTGCTCTGACTGGATGCTCGAGATAGACGATTTTAGATTATGTTCCTATCTACCTAGAGAAGATATTAAGAGCAAGTCGTTATTCAATCATGACAGAACAAACACTCCATAAATTAGACATCCTGGACTCCATATTGATAACATATTATGAGCAAACATTGCTTGAAATGAAAAATATTCAGGCAGAATTATAATAATTACGCTACATAAAATTGCATCAATTATATTTCTTGATTTCTCTCTGCGCCAAGAGGCATATATCCGCTTTATGCTGAAAAGTTATTTTAGTTTTGTTATGTAATGTACTTTAACATGGATATGACGTGCGTATGATCCTTACTCGCAGCACCTCATTCAACCCATACTTGAGTGTTTGGAGCCAGAAGGACGTTAGATCAGTGTTAAAACAGAATGATATAACACCCTTCTGGATTCAAACAGTCGTACAATGCCATTTCGTCTACTACCCATAAGGTCTAATAATCATTTGACGATTATCATTTGTTATGATTAAATGGTTATTAGACTATGGATTGTAGCATTGGACAAACTGGGAATGAGACCCACTGGAAATTATAATAAATATGATTTAGCCTTTTCATCGTGATATGTCACGAATATCCATCCATTTCCTAAACTGAATTTAGGGCGGAGGCATATATGAGCATTTGTCCTGTATTATTGTTTATGTACATATTTATAATGATCGTATATATTGTTTTATTTTTAACATTATACAAATTGAAAACCACATTCGGCTTTTAGCCCCGAAGAAATGTTATTAATCAACCATTTTAACTAAATTGAATATTCATTCATATATAATGAGTTTTAGTTTAGCCTATCACCTTGAAAGTATTATGTTGTAAGGATGTCACACTGATGCTTTAACACATTAAGCAATGAATGTGGGGATGGGGGGGGGGTCTTGGGAAAGGGCAGCTCAGTGATCACGAGTCAAATGCACATATATGTAACTGTAATAGGAAGGGGGAAAAGGGGATGCATCAGTTTAAAAGGCAACCAGAACGAATCGTAAACTCATACAAATATAAAAATTATAAGATTGATAGGGGTTTTAATGCACATGTAGCAACGACTCCGGAAACTGAAAGTACAAAGTCCATGGCCTATTGACTCTATGAAAACCATATTTTGAACAGTAAACATTTGCCGTACGAGAGTATACTGATTGAATTAACTGCATATTAAAGGTTGTACTTATTCATAGTCGTAGGCAGGTATAGTCATTCAAAATGGCTTCTTCAAACGCGGATTTGAAGAAAAAAGTGGATACATTACGACGTGAAATCTTGTCGTACAAACCAGGCAAGGCTGTATCTTGTGATGATGAACGAGTGGTGTCTCCTTATAAGTTTGTCGTTGGTATGATTGAACCGTACGGGATTGCGCCCACCATAGTCCCTGCTCTGAGACGAGCTCTTCATGGAGACGTAAAGCCGAGCAAGCATGCTGATAAACAACAAACATTTACCAAGGATCAGGAGCAATATCTGACCGATTCTATATCTGTCATCACGAAAACATTCATTACGGGTTTGTACATTGAAAAATGCAATGTTGATTCACTTGTGTTTGTTTGTTCAAAAACAATTCAAATGAAACTGCACCTTTGAAGATGCAAACTATAAGTATGGCATGTTGGTTTTCCTTATCCTATAATCAAACAGTCAGAGGTATGTTTTTGGTAAAATGAGGAATCTTATCATCAAATTCTGGTACTACTAAAACAACTCAATGCTCTGTGTACCTCACTAAACCAGCATTGTGTAGAAATTAAAAACATTCTAGATATGCCGGATAAAACAAACAATTGATCTCATTTCCTTTTTGGTGTTTCCATCATTCGCTCTCTGAACGCATAGTATGCCCAATTGCCTAAAATAAAGGAAATCAGACGCAACTTGCGTATTTGTAAATTTTAAAAAATCATGTTACAAAATGGCTGTGAGGTAAAACTGCGAGACCATCCAAACTGTGCTTAAAATTACATTCACTTTGGTAGATTACACTAACTTATCACGATCAAAAGTTATCTAACAATGTAATAAATATACTCAGTCGCTTTGAATGTTCAATTATGTTTGATAAATTGCAGACGTCTTGAGCATTGTAATTGTTTGTATATAGAAGCTACAAAACAGGACAATACGCCTGACTAATCCATGAGCTATTGACATCATGTAACATATATTATCTCTTATGAAGTCATTGGTTTAACAGTAGAACAAAATAAAAATCTTGAAATTATTTGTGTATGGTACACATCGAACACATGGAGCGCAGTTTCTCATTTAAACAAAAATAAACATTGGAATAAAAACCAACCAATAATTGTAAGCCGTTGATCAATTTAACATGTGAGCTATATGAAACAATTATTAGTAAGATTATGTGTATGTTTCACTGTGACTATATACCTGACCTGCCTGATGTAATTAGTTTGGAGACTACCAGGAGGGTATTATGCATGAGCATACACGTGTGTATGTAAATTGTGGAAACAGGTTTTCGAACATTGTCAATCGTCAGATCAACACATTGGGATTATCAAAAATGAACTACGAATAATTATATGGCTAAACCTTTTCTCTCTCAAAAGCATATGGGGATACAAATACGGGGCCCTAACAAGCATTTCTCAAATATATTTTCAATGTCATGAAGCTTAAGCAGTGTTAACATATAGATGCACAAATTTCATTAAAGAGAGTGATGTCTTGGGCTTTTCAAACATCCTCATTTTGTTGATGTCGTTATGGGTGTTTCTATTACTGGCTTTGGAATGGTACTATTACTGACCACTGCAATTATTACAACATTCTCACATAACATTATGAATGTACTTGGCGTACATAGGTTCGTAGTTTTATCATAATTATGTCTCCCTCTTCTTAGTATGATTCCACGTCTTCCAAACCCATGTAAGATTCTCTTCATGAAACGCAATTTGTTCACTGTTTTTGTTATCACATAATATTATTTTGTGTGGTTTCCTTAAATGTTATTGCACAAAGAATTCATTCATTTGTGTTATTCTGGCATATTGCACAATCTTTTCTACCTTTTTCTTTCTCTACTTCTGCATGTATGCTAAATATCATGTTCGTAGTATTCAAAAGTTCATCATGCACAATGTATAAACACGTTCTCTCTTGTCATCTTACCAGGTTCATTCGAAAAAGATGTACGAGACTTTGCTGGGAAAGTTGGATGTATGGTGTTGTTAGTTACGTGGGTATTATTTTGTTTCTCTCTCCATATTTACATGGACAGTATATATTTTGACTGAAACCAAATCATATCTTTCTTCATCGCAAATCTGAAGAACACATGTTTTAGCACTTCAATCAAAATTCCACTAACGCGCATATTAATAATAATAAAAAAAGTTATTAAAAATTAATCAATTAATCAATTAGGATTGTGATATTAATAATTAACAGAAAACTCAGTCACTAGGTCTTCTTATTTCGTCATACACAAAACGATATCAAATAATATTTTCAAGAACAAGTTTATTGCTAGTTATTTTTATCGGGTGGGTTGTTTCTCTGAATTGTTCTTTTTTCATAGCACCTTGCAAATAAAAACGCGATTTACCAAACCTAATTCAGCAAAAAAGCGTGAAAAAATAGCAAATGCGATAAGTACATACGCGGAGGGCATCGTCAAGCATGTCGGCAAAGCTTCCAAATTCGGGTGTTTTTGGATTCATAAAATCAGTTCCGTAAAATCGATCGTAGAAGCCTAATTGGTACAGAAAATTAAACACCTTTATCGCAGAATATAGTGACCTGCCAGCATCACAAAAATATATCAAAATATGCTCATCTAACCGTTATGAATGCCTAAAATCCCTGAGCTTCCAGGGGCTCCGCCACTTAGACCCCACGCCAATTCCACTTAGTCTAGTTCTGGACCCTTTTCATTGATTGTTTTATTCGCCGACTATACGCATTAAGCCGAGTGATGGCGCGATCCCGAGAACCGGTCCAGAAAAGCAGGTAATTTTCGGGAATCTCGAATATAATTTTTTTTCGAACGACGAAGTTATTTAAAGCTTCACAACATGTGGCATTCAGAAGGAAAGAAAAAAGAACCAAAGGAAATGAGCTCACTTTTGTTTTAATCATTTATCAACAATGGTGTATATACGGGAGAGGCAAAAGATGCAGGGAGGTATAAAGGTAAGCAAGAGAAGAAGAAGAAGAAAAGTAGAAAAAAAAAAAGATTTTCCGGAATAAGAATAGGCACAAAATTACAAAGCAAACAGTGCACTGGAAAAAGACTTGTTGAAGTTTTAAAACAAATTAGTTTTCAAAATCATGGTCGCTTTTATCTATCGTTTATTTATTAAAGCTTCACAACATGTGGCATTCAGAAGGAAAGAAAAAAGAACCAAAGGAAATGAGCTCACTTTTGTTTTAAACCCAATCAGAGCAATGCAGCCAGCGCTATCCATAACATTGAGACTTGTGTACAAGATGTTCATAATTGGTTAAACTCACATTCACTGAAATTAAATCTCGCCAAATGCGAATTTATAATGTATGGTTCTGAGACTCAGTTAGAGAAGATTTCTTCCATCACTTCAATTACTCTTGCTGGACATGAAATTACCCTATCTAATGTATGTCGCAACCTTGGTGTGTTTCTCGACTCAAACATGAAAATGTCTACTCAAATTCAATATGTCTCAAAATCAGTACGTTATCAGTTACGCAATTTGGGTTTTATTCGTAAATATCTTAACCGTGGTGCCACCGAGAAAATTACTCATGCTTTGATTTCTTCTCGCTTGGATTTTGGTAATGGCCTTTTGTTTAGTTCGCCTCACAACCTACTCGCAAAATTACAAAGATTACAGAATGCTGCTGCTCGTGTCGTGACCCTGTCCAACAAGTACAGTCACATCACACCAGTCCTCAAATCACTCCATTGGTTGCCCGTAGAAAAACGTGTTGTTTTCAAGATTATTTTGCTATTATTTCACTGTATACATGGCTCTGCTCCGCAGTATAACATCGGCTTGATTAAGCATTACTTTCCTTCTAGACAGCTACGTTCTCAAAACTCTGGCTTACTTGTTACTCCTAGGGTTAAAACAAAGTGGGGGGAACGAACCTTCGCTCATGCTGGGCCTTCGTTATGGAATACTCTCCCTCAATGGGTTAAGAATAGCAGTTCTGCTGAGGTGTTAAAAAACAATCTTAAGAAATATCTGTTTAATTTAGCTTATAATTGATTACCATTACCTTTCATGTCTGTACCTTTCCTATCGCACTTTGTATAAATGTATCATGTATGTATTTCATCTTTTGCACAAGCTGCGCCTTGAGCATTTGACTGTCAAGTGGATTTGGCGCCTTATAAATCATATGTATTATTATTATTATTATTATCGTATAATTATGCCGATTCGGGATCGTGTAGTTCTGCGCCCCAACATAGCATAGTCCATACGAAGGGGTCCACATTAATTCTAATCGCTTTGCTCTAATTGAAAATGTGTTTAATTAGGCTCTTTTCAAATTAAGCGCAGGAGTGTACACAAATAAGGTTAGCCATTTAAAAGGAATTTCAACATTCTAGCATTTTACCTAATTTCTTGCCTATATTCATCGCGAGGGTTAGTGGTGGAGTCTTAATATGCAATTTACGTGCGAGGAACAAGAATTACATTTAGGAGAGAGAGCTTAGAACTTATCGATATGCTGCAATTTTTTAATGAATTACATGTATAACAATGTTGATACGCGTGCCGTGCGACAAACATGAGTTTGCCTTTATACCTAATATACGGTAAGCCCCTACCTGCACACTTCTAGGGCTTTGGCATAAAGTGTGTAGGTTTTGGAAATATTTCTTTCTATGAGTATGGTCGAGAACGTCGCGCCCAAGTTAGAAACGGAAATCGGATTTTGAATCATGAAAGTGTGTATTTCCAACTTTTTTTTGGGGGGGGGGGGGGGGCAAAATAGTGAGTGTAGTGGTCCTGTCTTGAAGTTTTTGAAGTTTTATTTATTCCACATTTTACATAAAACAACAGTTTATGTATTTTTTTGTTTTGTACAAGTGTATATTTCTCACAAGAAAAAAAAAGGTACGAGAAAAACCAGTTCCTACCTCCTTTGTAAAGACTAGCACTTGCCCCGAATTTTGACTTTGGGGCCTGTACACGCAGTACCGCATCACTTGGTTTGCGAGGGAGTGTAATGACCGAATATTTAGAATGCTAATATTTAACAACATTTCTTTCTGTCTTGAGAAAATGCTCATTGAGGGGGTCGAAATCGATTATAAGTACTTGAAACAAAGAAAGAAACAAACAAAAAGACAGATAATTGCATGTTAAAGCTTTGTATTTTCACAGTGATAAGAGATATTTGTTATACTGCAAGAGGGCAGAAACGATTTAGCCGTCCCCATAATCATGTGACTGAAAGGCAACATAATGGCCCTCGCATTTAACGCCTCTGAAAGACAGGGTATATATGCAACATACGCCTATCATTTCTGTTGGTGTTGTTGTT